GTGCGGGGAAAACTCAACCTCCCCCACCCTGCAGGCACACGCGTGCTCGCGCGCGCGCACACGGTCATGTGCCCATCCACCAGCCAATCATGTTTCCCTCTCAAGGGCAACAGATATGCGTCTCTCGCTTCTCTTCCCGAGAGTTTTTAGGTGAAAAAGCAAATACGTGTGTGTATATTTTGTATTGTCCTCACCTCCCAGTGGTCACTGCCTCGCTGACTGCACGGGCCTTGATGACACATCCTGGGACCATTTCTGATTGGGACGTGAGCCCTCGCTTTCCCGCAGCCACACACTCCGTGCTCCTGGGTGTAGACATGCCTTGGGAGGCCTCTTCTGGGGGACCCAACGTGCATGTTTCAGGCACAGGAGAATATTGGTAGCAAATACCTCTAGAAGCAAGATCGCTGGGTCAGATTTTGTAATTGGATAGACCCACCTTAACGTGGGATTATTTAATTTCCACATTGATTATTTATATAAAGCAAAACAGGTGACTGTGACATCGTGCGTGTCTTCTGCGTCGGATCAGAACACACATTTGATGTGCTTGCAGTTTGTCCACCTTGTGGAGCGGACGTTATTTTCGACAAAATGCGCATCTTCTGACACTAAAGAATATCGCCCGTCGCGTTGAAAACGTTCAAGTGCGCGCAGAGAGCGTTCTTTTTCCGGGGGTGCGTGTAGTCTTGAATATATATATCGAACGTATGCGTATTGTTAATGCTAATCCGCTTTCTACATCCGTCGCCCTGGTTTCTGTGGCCATTAAATGTCGCCAGAGAAACTGGAGAACCACTCGAGGTGACCCAGTTACCGTACTGTTCTGTGCACTTGAGATCGGCTGAGAGGGGAGACCTTAGGTGTTCTCACCGCAGGAGAAAGGAAAGAAGGCTGCATCTGTGCGAGGTGGTGGGTGCGCTTGATTGTGGCACCCGGTTCCCAGGGTACACACGTCTCAAAACACCAGGTCGTACCCCTTAAGTATGTACAATTGTTATGTGTCCTCTATACCTCAGTAAAGCCGAGAAGTTCCTGATACTTAAAAAAAGAAAGAAAAGAACTTGAGCTTGGGACCGTTTCCAGCTCTCTGGGGCGTCAGCTGTCGTGTTCTCCTAGTTAACATTTGTCTTAAGTGTTTATTTAAACTGTGGTTAGTTCACATACAGTGTACTATTCGTTTCAGGTATACAGGAGAGTGATTCGATAGTTGCATACATCGCCCCGTGCTCATCATGACAAGTACCCTCCTTCATCCCCATCACCTGTCCTAGTGAGCATTTGACTGCAGAGACACGAGATGGAAGGAAAAAAAAGTCCCTAAAATTACCACAAACCAAAAAGGAAACGTCTCCTGCACTTTCTGCTATGCCACAGTGTCAGTTTTATTTTAATTTTGGAATTATTTTTAATTTTGTTTCATGTTTATTTTTGAGAGAGAGAGAGAGAGAGAGAGAGCGAGCAGGGGAGGGGCAGAGAGAGGGGGAGACACAGAATCCGAAGCAGGCTCCAGGCTCTGAGCTGTCAACGCAGAGCTGGACCTGGGGCTCGAACCCACGAGCCGTGAGATCATGACCTGAGCCAAAGTCAGACGCCTAACCGACGGAGCCACCCAGGCGCCCCAGGGCCCCCTGGCCCTGCACACAGTGTATGGGACTTTCATTTCAATTGATGAGCCAATTATTAGTATGTCGTTATTAACGCAAGTCCTTAGTTCACACTTGGCATTGTGGACAAACGTGTGACGTGTTTGCATTTGGACAGCGGGTTAGAACAAATGTGCAATGACACGTACCCACCAGCACAGTATCATACAGCGTATCCTCACTGCTTTGAAAATCCTCTGTGCTCTGCCCGTTCACCCCTCCCTCCCCCAACCCCTGCAACCACTCCATAGTTGTGCCTTTTCCAGAACGTCCTATGGTTGGAATCATACAGTTCGTAGCCTCTTCAGAACGGCTTCTGTCACCTGGTGATACGCATTTCCGTTTCCTCCCCGGCTTTTCCTGGCTTGATAGCTCGTTTCTTTTTAGCACTGGATGATGTTCCATTGCCTGGATGGACCACGGTTTGTTTAGCCACCTCAGGGAGCTCGTGGCTTGCTCCCACATGGCGCATGGGGATCACCCATCCAGGAAGCATTAGGAAATTATCAGACCGCGGCTGGTCACGTCACAGGGAATGAGCCAGAATGTCCACTGAGTTGGGGCCACAGAAGCAGGGCAAGAGTGAGGTCTGCGATAATCAGGTCCTCATTTTATATTTTAAGTCACATATACTCCCCCCGGAGCTCAGAGCTCAGAGCACGGGCTCACATGCTTTTGCGCATCAGTGAACGTCGTTCGTCGCACAGCGTTTAGCAGCCTGCCCTCCTTCACGGCATGCCGTTTTCAAGGTCGTTTGTATGAATATGTGACGCCGGTTAATCCTCAAGCCATGTGGGCGGGACCCGCTCTGTGGCTGTGCCCCTCCTGACCCAGCCGTTCACACATGGAACGTTCTCCGAATTCTGGATTGTTGTTACCCCTAGGGAGGGAGAAGTCACTGGCATAGAGAGAGGTTGAGACGACGTCTAAGGTGTTTCATTTCCTTAATAACATAAGCGCTGAGGTCATTTGGGCCAAGTGTGACTGAATTTAGAGGCAGAACCTTGCACCAGGGGGGTGTGGCATGTCTCTGGTGCTCTGCCAGGATCCGGGGTGTTGGGCAAGAACGGTTGATCTGTTGTTCACAATGATTGTCTAAAGATCATTTCTGGGGGCGCCTGGGGGGCTCAGTCAGTTAAGCGTCCGACTCTTGGTTTCGGCTCAGGTCACGGATCTCACAGTTCGTGAGTTCGCGCCCCGAATCGGGCTCTGCGCTGATGCTCGGAGCCTGCTTGGGATTCTCTCTCTCCCTCTCTCTGCCCCTCCCCCACCCACTCTCTCTGTCTCTCTCTGTCTCTCTCAAAATAAATAAATAAAACTGAAAAAAAGACCTTTCTTTAAAAAAAAAAAAACCCTTTAGCTTTTTCATTTATTTTTAAATACTCGCTTTATCAAGATATGGCTCACGTACCATAGAATTCATCCCTGAGAACATACAGTTCGGCGGCTTTTCTACGGTCACCCCCGCCCCCCCACCCCAGGGCCCCCCGCAACCACTAATCCACCGAGTGTTGCTCTGGATTCCCCACTCTGGGCCTTTCATACAGCACATGGGCCTGCGTGGGCCTCCTTTCAGGGCCGATGACACTCCGTGGCGTAGATGGGCCACCTTGTGTCCATTCATCCGTCCACGGTCGCTTACGTTCTCCTGCCTTCCGGCTCTTGTCTGAACACCCGCTGCCAGTGCTTTGGGGGTAAAGAGCACTTTAGAGCCGGGAAGGGGTGCGTGGTCAGTGCCGTGGGGACAGGACCCCTCGTGTCGCCGCCTCTGAGCTTTTGTGTGGGGGCGGGGGGGGGGCTCGAGTGGCGTCGGGACGGCCCCCAGAATCTCACGGAGCGTCTCCTTCGCTGCAGTGCGCCTCTACGGACCGAACTTCATCCTCCAGGTGTATTCGTCCCAGAGGAAGTCGTGGCACCCCGTGTGTCAGGATGACTGGAGCGAAGGCTACGGAAGGGCCGCGTGCCAGGACATGGGCTACCGGTGAGTACGGCCCCACCGCAGAAGCGGAGGGAAGATTCTCTCCGCCCTCCCCGGTGGGACCTCTGGCTCCTTCCCAGAGCTGGTCAGGGAAGCCAGCAGGTGCCCAGCGCATCCCCCTGCCCCCGTCCCCTGCACCTAGTGAGCAAGACTCACTACCCCCCAGCCCTGCCGCCTCCTGGACCTCCATCCACTCCCGGTTCCCCGTCCGCTCCCACCCACGGTCAAGGTCACCGAGGTCCAGGGTGCCGGCCGGGGACTCCTTTTCTCAAGGAGCTCTTAAGGAGCACTGAGGCCTCACCTCCTCAGGCCTCCCTGACTGGGGGGGGGGGGTGGGCGGCGGGGGGCTGGGGGAGGTCAGAGGGCACAGATGTGCAGACGTTCACTGCATACATGCTTGGGGGACGCACTGAGCCTTTGAATGGGGGACAGGTGGCATCAGATTGCCGTGGAAGAGAATTCAGTCCTGCCTGTGGCCACAGGGATGGGGGGAGAGGCAGGAGGGACCCTCCCTGGGGCTCCCAGCCAGGGGCTCCCCAGGGTATCCCTTGGCGTGCATAGCAGCCGTCTGGCCGCACGGGGAAAGGCTGCGTGATTTTATGGTCACTACGTCTTCCTCGGGGTGTCTCTGTGTGACTTCTGCGCAGCACTGGGGGGTTCTCCGTATGCCAGTAGTCAAGGTTAATCACTGCTTGATAAGAAGCGTGACATCTTTGGGGGTGGGGCAGAGGGGGGAATGGGTGATGGGCATTGAGGAGGGCACTTGTCGGGATGAGCACTGGGTGTCGTATGGAAGCCAATCCGACAATAAATTATGTTTTTTTTTAAAAAAAGAAAGAAACTTGGCATCTTAGCCAGCGAAATCTCTCCAAATGCCATCCCCAATGGACGTAGTAACGCCCCCATCATGTTCAGGACCCAACGGGATTTTATAGCGGGGGAGTGTTTTAACATCCGTAAATTCTGTTAGGTTACAGGTACTCACATCCCCTTTGTCCGTATTTCTCTATCCTTGCCCAAACTAGATTAGAAAAAGGCCCACGGAGGGCTTTCACCTGACGCTTCCAGGTTATTGGGTCCAAAGAGGATTATTAGACAGCGTCACTTGATCAGACCTTGTGGTTTTGTTTCCCACATGCTAAGGTGTCCCCCCCTTATCCAAACACCGTACGAGAGAAGTATGGCGATACGGCCCAAGGATTTGCCGTCGCTTGTCACGAAGCCATTATTTTAATCAAGGTTTTCCGTCTCCTTTAGGAATAGTTTCTATTCTAGCCACGGAGTAGCGGATGACAGTGGGGCCACCAGCTTTATGAGGGTGAACACAAGTGCTAACCATATGGATCTCTATAAGAAACTGTACCACAGGTATTTGGTGATTTCTTTATTTTTCCTTTAAGAAATTTTGTAACGAGAGCGAGCAAGAGACACCATGGGGAGTCACGGTCCCGAGGTGGCGTTCTCGGACTGCGATTCCAGTATCACTGAGAGTTTCTCTCTGGGAGGAGATCGGACTCGGAGTGGGGGTGGTTCATTCTCGGGGAGCAGCTGAGGGTTATTTGCCATGGTCTTCGTGCCCTCTGCCCTCAGCCCTGGTGGCCCTGGAAAACATGGTAAAATGAAAATGGAGAGTCCTCCTGACCACATTAAAATACTCCCCAGACATTAGAGACGGACAGACTGCGGGTCAGGGTATGTCTCCACGAACCCCCGAGAAAGTCAGCGTCCCAAGGGGGTTGCCAGCCCATCCCGCTTCGCCCGGGATGGTGCCCGTTTCAGCCCGGAAGTCCTGCTTCCCCAGGGGCCCTCTCGGTCCCCAGCAGCAGGGATGGCTGGTCCCCTGGCCCCCAAGCCACCCTGTCAGATGGCACCCGGCCGGGCGCGCGCGGCATCCCGGGGGGGCCCGGAAGGGAGCAGCTGGTCCGGTTCAGCCCACGTGTCCTGTAGCTCGAAGCCAACCTGTGGCCCGGGGCGGGTCTCAGTGTGTCCAGTGGGTGGAAGAGAACCTGAACAGCAGATCGCAGGATTGGTGGCCTAGCTGGTTGGGAGGGTGGGGGGCAGGGGGTGCTTGAGCTGCTTGTTTCGTCTCGCGCGTGTTTAAAATGTTCACCGTCTCCCCAGACCGTCGTTGCTACCTGCCTCCTCTTTCATGTGAAAGTCGCACGGCGTCTTTGTGTGCAAGCCCTGGTCAGCTCCCAGGTCCCTATCGCTCATCCCCAGGTGGCTGGCCAAGCCGTCACCTCCCTGTGGGCCAGGTGCCAGGAGCTGCCCTTGGGGTGGGTGAAGTGCCGTGGCACCCCTCCTTTCCTTTGAGAGGGCGGCCGGCGGCGGCTTTGCGTTCCTGGTGGCCGCTGGCCGTGGTGGCTGAGGGGCCGATTTCTGCCCAAGCTGCCCAGCCTGGCTGTCCCCAGGAGCGTGACAGAGTGAGCCCAGGAGGAAGGCTGTGCTCGCCAGGTGCACATCAAAACGGCGGGGCCGCGGTCTGCCTGCCCAGGAAGCTAAACACAGCTGCCTGGGCTCTTGGTCGATGCTGAGTGTTTCTGTCCTTCCCGGTGACACTCCCATGCAGGATCAGGGCTGCGCGGGGAGGGAGGGCCACCATCTCCGGGACTCACAAGGTGGCTGTCGGGTGTGTGTGTGGGGGAGGTGCAGAAGGCTCCCTTCTCTTCGCTTTGATCCCCAAGTCGCAGACTCCATGTGACCACACGCTGGTGGCCGGACAGCGGCCCCTCCACATGGAGGAGAGTCAGCCTTGTGACCCTCAGGAAACATTTTCTTTTCATGGGAACGTGTCTTCTCTTGGCGTTGCCATGCCGCACAGCCGAAGACGCCTGGGACACATGGTGTCCGTGGAACCGGGGGGCATCTCGATGTGAGGGTGTCAGAAGCTGACTTTATGTGTGGAACTTGGGCTCGTGTCGAGTCGTTTGGGGGAGGTTCAAGGAAGCAGGGCTCTGCTCTGGATTGGATGCTGTTGGGAAGCGAGGCGATTTTGCGATTGGTATCTTAATGCCTTTTTTCCTTCTAGAAGGGGGCTGGCAAGAAGCCAGGCTACACGGAGATTGGCAAGCAGGTGCCGTCACTCTTGGCGGCCAGCAGAGGGGGCTGTTGGTCACTGTGATCTGGACTAAGCTTCTGGTCAGGCCCCCGGGTGGACCCCCTGAATGTGGTTACGTTGGGTGCAACCAACCCTCTCTCCTCCACCATCTGTCAGGGGAAGATTCACTCTGAGACGGAATGCGCTGGTTACTTATTTTTCAGATGTAATTTCACTTACCTCCCACATGAGTGACTTAACTTTCCTTTGGCTCCTGAGCCAACGAGGGGTCGTCTCGTTTTTCTGTGCAATACGCGTAAAGCAGTTACAGGAACCCGGAAGGTTACAGATGACTTCCTTACAAAATTAGAGGGTGATTTTCAGTTCTGGAAATAAAAATAGTAGCTCATGTTATTGGGTGCTTACCCTCACAACCAGTCTATGACCAGGTACTGTTATCCCGCTCTACAGTTGGGACAAACGACGCACAGAGAGGTTAAGTAACGAGCCCGGGGTCACACAGCTGTGACTTGAAACCCGGGCTGGGACTCAGTGCTCGATGCCAGGGTCCCCCATGTGGATGTGCTCTCCTTTTTTGACTCTTCAATCGCGGGCCCTTCTGTGTCTGGGGAGGCAGGGGGGGTGCGACCATGGGAAGAAAATGTTTATTTCTAAGTATTTTCAGGGTCAAGCATCTCGTGTATTCTAGTGACCAGAACACCCCCTGTTCTTTTGTAGTGATGTCTGTTCGTCAAAAACGGTGGTTTCTTTACGCTGTATAGGTAAGCGATTCCTGGTTTCCACACCTCCCCCTTTTTTTTCTCCAAAGGGAGCACCCTGTACCTTCAGAAATGCATCCCCTGCGTCTGGGGAGGCGGGGTGATGGGGTGGGATGTGTCCGAGCCTTGCACCCGGTCTGTACCCCAGCTCCACTCAAGGAACACCCTTCTGAAACCGCGGTGTCCTGGAGATGCCTCCGGCCTCGGGGCCAGGGACGCAGCCGTCCTGCGGGGACAGGCAATCTCCGGAAACTGTCGGGGCGCCAGAGGCCGTGGGTCTCCCCGTCTCGTGTTTGGCTTGCTTCTCTCTTCCCAGCCTCTATCCGTGTGGAAGGCACCCTCCCCGTGCCCTCCTCTTTGGTCCTGTGTTCGAATGAAACACTGGTCCTGCAGCTCAGCTTTGAGTGTGAACAGGTCAAACTAGCCGATGCCCCCGGGTGGACCGCGTGACCCGGGATCCTGGCCGTGACTCCCCAGCCAGGCTCAGCTCAGGCTCTTTCAAGCACCAACAGGGCGTGGTGCTCACCCCGGCTCCCCGGACCTCGCTGTCCACTTCGTGGGGCAGGAGACCCACCCCCTCGAGCAAAACCTCCAGGCAGCCCCCATTGGATGGACGCCCGTGAAGCCCCGCCTCCTTTGCCCTGGCGGTGACGGGGACAGGGCAGACACTGGAGGGGCTCGGAGATTTACCCAGGGAAGCCCCTGGGACGTTAGCATCCCCTCCAACCTCCCTTTCTCCCCCGGGTTCGGGTCCACTGTGAACTTCTGCTGGTGCCTCTGAGGCCCCTGCATCACCCGCCCGCACGACCAGGAGCCTCTGTCCTGTGGCTCCTTCCCCACCAGCGCTCAGAGTTTCCAGAGAGGAAGCCTCCTCTCCCTTTCTGGCAAAGAACTTGTCACAAGTAGCAGCAGGCCAGGCCAGGCATTGAGGACTCACACTCGCTCTCCGTCCTCCTCCTTCCTCCCTCCTCCCTCTTCTCTTCCCCTCCTCCTGCCTTCTTCCTCCTTCCTCCCTCCTCCTCCTTCATTCTCCCCTCCTCCCTCCTCCTTCTTCCTTCCTTCTTCCCTCCTTCTTCCTCCTCCCTCTTCCCCTCCCTCCTCCTCCCTCCTCTCTCTTCCCTCTTCCTTCTCCCTCTTCTCTCCTCCTTCTCCTTCCTCCCTCCCTCCCCCTCCTCCTCCCCTCCTGCCTCTTCCACCCTTTCTCTCCCTCCTCCCTTCCCCTCCT